TCAGCGATGTCGCAATTAAACTGTTGTGCGAATAATAAGAGTGAGAACGATGGTAAATTTTTAGCTCGGTCGTCGAAAATAGAAACGAAAGATGAAATTCATTTCGTTAATTAATTAAGGGCGTGAGGTGGTGAAAAAGACCAAGTTTTTCGATTTGTTTGATCTCTCTAGTGCCGTGTAAAGGGCGACTCAGTGATACGTAGTACAGCTCCGTCAGCAAAAGCGGAAAATGTGTTCTTTAACAACTATCCAATTTTGTCTGGACCGCTGAATTGTGGCCGGCTTCAAGACTCTCCACACAATAGCAGTGACAGCTCACCTGAGGACGATTTAGACAGTATCACTCCGGTGAGGATTAATGTTCGGTTTGATTTTCTAAGGACTCAGGTATTAAACAGAGTAAAAGTGGGGAGACTCCCGCTCCTTTCCCTGCTCTAAATTAAGAGTGACAGCGTTCATCGTTACGGCGTGTTTTTGGACTGTTTTTGAAAGAGGGTTTATTACAAGCTTAAACCTTTCAAAGTGTTGAGTATTAAGACCCTCTTAACGATAATTCACGTGTGTTTTAGACAGCTTTTTACTTTCTCTCTTCTGCCTTTGCACTTCTGAAAAAAAAAAAAAAAAGGTTCGGTGATACGAGAACAGCCCCAAAAGCAACTTCCTTACGCAGTGATTATTTATTTTTCCTTTGGGAAGTTACTCTCTCTCGAACCAGTTTTCCTCGCCCGCCCCGAAACTTACGATTATCATGCTTTTTAGCATGTGAAGAACGCAACAGATATTTGACCTCATTTAATGCATTTTACAGACAATTCCGCCATATCCGAGCCAAGGCTACGAACCCATGCTCACCGACGAACCAATATGTGGAAATCTACCAAATCCATATCAGTTCTCTTATTCCAACAGCCATCTTCTTTTTGGTGGGGATTCTGCAAGTGATAACTTTATCAGACCTACGCAACTCCCTCCTAGATTGGAGAGTTTGGATTTCACAAACGTCAGGAAGGATATTTTAGAGGCCACTCTCGTAGCCAATGGCCAAATGTTCAATGGATTAAGCGAAAGCGGACAAGCATTTCTACAGCATCTCATGGCAACCAACCCAGCTCTTATGAAACTTTGGCGTCAAGGTGCATTCTCACCGAACGAGGTATGAACAGTGTGTTTTGAAGAACTCTTTAAAAGGGCACATGAATTAAAACTGTGGATTTCTTAGAAGGGTACATTTGGTGTAACTACTTTTTTTCGGTCTGTATTCATTTTAGCAGACTAAGTGACAGAGTGAACGTATTTTGCATTTATTGGAGGCACTAACTTGTTTCCTCAATCTTACCTGTCGTTCCTGATGTTAACACTTTTGTTTCTAGTCCTCTAATGGATCATCTTCTGTCAGCACTCACTTCAACATGGATAATGGATTAATAGGTAAGATTATTATAAAAAATACCACAAGTAAAAGGCCTGAAGTAGCTTGTGAGTATGCCCTCGTTACCAGTGCCTCAGCACGAGTATGCCCTCGTTATCAGTGCCTCGACACAAACGTTTCCTCGCCCGTATCAGTGTAGCTCTGGTAATGAGGCATTTTTAGTGCCAGACCCCTAGCAAACCTCTCTTCGACTCGTTTCAAATCTTCCCGCAGCGGAAAAAGTCGAATACTGCAGCTCTTATAAGGAGCGCCTGCTTGTAAGCTTCGCCAGTGGTATTACCGCAAAAATAATAAGATACTTTTGAGAAAATGCTTCGGCTCCTGAAACAGCTAATACCAACACATATTAACCGTTACATTGGAAAGCGTCGCGTAAATGATGCAGTGGTGATAATGAGATGAGTTTCTCCCCACTCCCCCGCTCCCCCTTTTATATTGCTGTGGACTGGGGTCTTTTCCGACCATGGTACCAACTGTGGGTGGAGTGTCTCAGCATCTTTCACTTGGGCTTTCCGGACTTCCTTTCCAAAACCAAACAATTCAACTGATTTTAATTTGAAAAAGGAACAGAGGACTAAGAACCATTTCGTTGGTCTGCCTGCTAAAACGAAATGCATTTGATAATTAATAATTTATCATTTATCCTGGAGTTCAACTTCTCCTATTGTTATATTATTTAAGAAATAATAAGCCCACCCAGACGTGTAGATGAAGTAGAACTGTGAACTTGCACTGCACAAAAAATTGAAGTTGATCATCTACACAATTTTTTTTGCAGAGGCTACTGGTTTGGAAATGGATGAAAGCATGGGCCGAACGGTATGTAAATTGTCAAAATGAAGATTTTTGAAGATGAGAGTGAGCATCACAGATATTTATTTATAGTACAAAAAAGTTCACATCTGTCTTACGTCACATTTTCCAGGTCACAAACATCCATCAATCAAATGAGAATCCAGGGTCAGGGTTCGCAAGGCCTGGAAAACAAGCAGGAGACAGCTGTGGTAAGTGAAGTCTCTCACTACAAGATGAGTATATTACTCAGCGGAACTCGAGAATATGCACAAAATGATCGCGGTATCTCAATGCGATCTGGAAAAAGGTCTGTCTCAGTTTAGTTAAAATGCATTTATAAGCAATTTACAAGGGTATATGCCTGTTGGTAATTTCAAATCATTGTTCGATTTGTATATTCAGAATCCGCCATGCGCATCCGGGTATTCTATGGTAACTATGAAGTATTATCCACCGACACGAAGCAGACAGAAAGTGAACGGTTAATCAGGATATCCCACGGATGTCACATGGTAGAACCCCGAAAGCTCGAGTTGGGTTTACTGTGTCAGCTGTTCGGACCTCCTACTGCTAGACAGATCGAGCTACCGCCAGCTGTGAACAACAACTCCAGGGAAGTTATGAAAGTGATGGATTTCATTAAACGCGGTATTATATTGGAGATCAACGAGTCCAATGACATAATTGTCACTCGTCTATGCCTCGCAAGGGTAAGCAGTTTTGTTCAGTTTTGTTCGTTTTTACTTGTGGATACCCGAAGCAAAAGAATGAGTATTGTGGGGATTCGATAAACAAATTTCGTGGCGTTAGCACGGCCTTAGGAGTCTGTGGAGAGCATACATCTTATCATCACAACTAAAGAGGACCCTTGTTAGAATGTTGGCTCCATTCTGCTTCTTGGAATTATAGGATCACTGGCCTTTAGTGCAAGCACTGTATATACTAATTAGATTCTGTATAGCATATCCGCGACTGAGGTTCACTGAAGTATCACTTTGATCTTTATTATATTAGTGCTTATAGTAAGCGTGATAAAAATGTCTTCTGTTTTTGATCAGTTCATGGCGTTTACTAATATCTCTTCTTCTTCTTTTAGGTTTTCTACTCGAACGGAAGAAAGGCTGCTAAAAAGCTCATTCGCGAGGAACGCACTAAAGTATTTGATTATCAAGGAAAATTTCTTCCCAATCTCAGAGAAAGCCAAAACGGGAATTGCGAGTATCCTTCGTATGAAGTCACTCTTTATCTGGGAAGAGCCGATGGGAGTCTGGTCTCTATTGTTATCACTCACGTGATGGCTAAGATGACGCTGCATATTACTAGCTCATCGGGTGAGAACTTTTGGTCGGAGCCAAATGCGAACGATCAGTTAGCGACAAACTTGGAGGAGGATTGTATGTATTAGTGTAGACACTTAAAAAGTTATCACGTATATGTTGAAAAAAGCCATAATGTGCCATGCTCTCTTCAGTGCTCCGGGCGTTTACCTTGCATTATTGCGGACTGACTGATAGAGTGGCCAATTGATGAAGATAATTCTGTTGTTAAATTGAACTGTGAAGCCAAAGAAATCAGTTCTCTAAACTTTGCACATCATCTCTTGTACTAAACAAAACAAGTTCGATTCTCCTTTTCGTCAGCTGTGCCACTGCAAACACAACCAAGAGAAAATACAAAAATGAATTCATTATCACGAGGCCCTACAAGGCTGTTAAAAATGAAAAATTTCGACTGTGTTTAGCATCAAAGATACCATAATGAAGCCTTTTTATGTCTTATAATTAGATGATAAAAATTCGTCTGCATGTAGTTGTAACATTAGCGAGTGTTTCTAAGTTAAGTTGATGTGAACCACATTACAGCTCAGTCACGAGTGAGCTTTTGTTAAAATTACTTATTTTATGAATTTGTAATTTTTTTCATTTCTATTGTCATGCACAACCATAACAAAGACCTTGATAACATTTATATAGTATTTCTATAACATCAAAGAACAAATGCGTTTGTATCAAACTTACGATTGTTATGTAATTAGTAAAAACATGTCGCTATTGGAGTTGTAGCCGAGTCACACTCAGTATTTAGTATTCGTAGAGCCGTTTTTATGTGACTGTTTTAAAACTGAATGCAATTCAATCAAGTCCGAACACTGACAAGAAAGAATGTGAACGCAAGCGAATTACTATTATATCTTCAGTTAAGAAATACGTGGTAGCTATATAGTGGCGGAAAGTGCGCGAATACCACAGGTGTTAAACGCAGAAAGCCCGTCACTGCCACGGGTTAGGGTGCACGGCCATTGCCATGTATGATGGGAATGTTATCAGCATCGTGCCCATGATCACGCGTGAAACACGAAAGAAACGTGCGTTGGATCTTGCCTTACTATTAAATAGTTAGGATAAGGAAAAAGTATTATTCACCAATTATTTAAACCACTCTGAGTGCGTAGACCGTGAACACAAAAACGTGACGAACCCATTCATGCAAAACTACTATAGACAGTCATATAAAAACAGTTTTATAGAAAAATGTTTATTAAGTTGTTTTCAACTGTATGCCAGGTTTATATTAGACTTTTGTAACTAATAATACGTTTTTCAATAAAACTAACACCCACACGCAATATTGGTACGGTTGGTACGCGTCTGGTTTTTTATATAATGATTGTAAATGTTCGAGAAAAATCGATTCCAAGTAACTCATTACCCATTGTATATGACAAAATGAATTTACTCCTCTTGATAATTCATCTGCAGTCTCTCTCAGACGCCTGTAAACGCGTTCATGTCGACCCATGTACAGCCACCCCTTTCTAGACTTTGATTACATCAATACAAAAAACTTATTTGGGCTCTGACTGATAATTCATTTTAAATTATTGTTTAAATTCCAGTCTTTTTCCTGTGTAATGATTGTGTTAATCCGTAGTTTTCGGTGGTCTTATTGATGGGTTGCTTACTTTTTACTGGATTTCCATCCACGACATGCCGTAACATGTCATCGAGAAAATCACGAAACTCCATCTTAAAATCATTTTTTTGATCTACCTTGGCTGAAAGTAGACTTGCGATTGATTGCGTGTCCCTAACTCAGTCAGTGAATTCTTCAGATCCGCAACAATAATCTTAAGAGTAATCAAAGATACTACTGAAAAGGAAGCGTACAGCTGACTCTCAATACCAAGTGACTGACTAATTCCTATAAAAATATTTACACTGAACAGTGATTTAAATCTTATTGGTCGTTATTGCCTGCGTGCTGTTATTCATTGGCTCAGGTCCGCTGAAGAAATACTGTAAACAGTCATAATTCCTTAAAAATATACGCTTTACAGTTTGGCGAAACGCTCTATATCGAATGCTATATATGATTGGATTACAAGCGCTGTTTGCAAAGCCGATAAACATTGTTATTAGATCTGCTGTTGGTCCTCCTGTGGATTTTCCACGGGCCATTTGCACAAACAGAAGAACACAAAAAGGTGACCAACAAACCATATAGATTCCAATAACAATAAGCACTGTTAAGGCTCCCTTCCTAGTTGAGGCCCGTGTTCTTGTTGTTAAATCAAAGTTACTTCGCACCTGTTCCATTGTCACGGAAATTTTCTTCGACTGTTTGAAAATTGTCAAAAAAATCTTCAGGTAAACAAAGCACATGACTAAAACGGCAGCCCCGTATGTTCCACAAACGACTGCAACGGTGAAAACGACCGCAACTTTGCTCTGGAGCCAATCTTTCTCAAGACATTTTCCGATGTAAGGAATAAAACATTCGTAAGAACTTACACCGAAAAGTGGCGGCAGGGCCCATAGAGTTGAATATATCCACAATAAAAGACAACCATATTGAGCTCTTGTTTTGGTAAATATCGAACGGTAAGCTAAGGGACGAGTAACTGCAATATATCGGTCGAACGACAGTAATGTTAGGTGCATAATAGAAGAAATACAGAAAGAAAAGTTACCAAACGCGTTTAGTTTTCCCCATAATGCTCCACATCGCCATTTTCCTGATAACAAACCGTCGATTGCACAGGGCATAACTAGTAAACCCACCAAAAGATCAGCGACCGCTAACGAAATGACGGCTTGATTGTTCGCCATACTTTTCAGTGAATTGATGTTCGCCATTGCCACGATAATAAAAGAGTTACCAACCAGAGTTACAACGTTCACTACAATCATGAGAATGCTTGTTAAAACTACCACTCCCAAAGGCCAGGTTGAAGGGACCAAGGAAAAATCTTCCACGGTAGATACATTGCAGCAATTGTTACTGAAATTTTCTGACATCCTAAACTTCATCCAATGGATTTAAGTTCTGAAGATGGCAAATAATTCTTTGCGTTATTTGTTTGATGGCGTATCGGAATAGTACAGTGGAAAAGCACAGAGTCGACGAACTTGAAAACTAAAAAAATAATCACAATTCTCTGTGTGTAGGAGGTCCCAAAGTCTTTTTCAAGAAACTTCCTTAGAGAAGACTCGAACCTTTAAAAAAGGTCTCTGCTCTATTTTTCACTATATCCTGGTGTTCTAAGTCTTGTTAGCGTCCTGCGGGCAAATATGGCTCAAATTCTCTCATTATTCAAAAGTATACGAGGGCACTAAAGGTTCTATATATCGATAATTGTAAAAGCCACAGACACAATAACGAAGGAACCACAACGATCAATACAGCTTCGCTTAACTAACAATATTACCACATTCAGAATGTTTTTATTAGCTTGCGTCATGATAATGCAGGAGAGATCGACTTCACTAGAAGCACTTTCGGTTAAAAGTATAGTTCGGTATCGTTAAAATAATGATTAAAGAGCACTGGCTCTGACGATGGGCTTACGCCCGAAACATCAGCTTTAGAAACTCTACCGTGGCAAATTTACATTATAAACTCAGTTGCTAAATCCAATTATCTTTCAGAAAAAAGAAGCATTTTTTACTTTCTCATAATTCACGGACTCAAATTGAATTGCTTTCAGAGAACAAAATAGTCGTAAAAAGTGTAAAATCTCGTTCCGCTCTGTTGAGCCTGAGTTATCAGCCACGAATTTATTATTGTTTGATTGGGTGATCTGAAATAGCTTCACGCTTCTACACTTACTATGGAGACAACATGCTGAGCAATTAGAAAACAAACCACAGTTTCCACGAAGTTTTCAAACTCAGTATTGATAATTTCATCCTGTTTTTAATACTACACAAAAATACTAGCGAAATTGAAATGACTAGGCAATAACGAAATGTGCTTGAGTACCAAAATCAAAAAAAAAAAACTAAGGGCATTGGTAAAATCAGTTATTTTAATTCAACAAGATAATTTTAAGAATCATTTTCACCATTTATAGAAAGTGAGAGTTATTTTCATGCATTCAGTATAATAAAACATAAGTCAAGGAATAGAAGAGACAGCGTGACAAAGTTGATAGCAAAAATCCCTATGCATTTCCTATGGCTGAATACATATATAACTGATATAATAGGAAAAACCTTATGAACAAGACTCAATGAACAAATTAAAACAAAGCAGGGTTCCAGACGAAAAGCCCAAAATGGTTTTGTGAGAGCTACTTTTTAATTAATCTAATTTCTTCTGTGGCGAGTTTAGATATGCTAAATTTAAACTACTGAAGGGTTATATTAAGAAGTCTTGACGAAGCAATATAATCATTCAGTGCCATAAAATCTCCCGGCTTCATCTTAAAGTTGCAAAGTGAAACGATTATTGCTGGCATTTACCTTTTCAGCACCAGTCTAAAACTAAAATCAAACTGGCTCCGTTACTAATCAAGAAAAGTGTACTAGCAACGATTTCTATTGTATCTGGTCGTAGAGTTTTATAAATAAAAACTTGATGAGTGTAAAATTTGCAGAAAACAAATATGTTAAGTCAGGTCAATGAAAATTATTTCCCATGTTATCCTATTTTTAAAAGATCTTATGTACGAGGATCTACGTCACATTTTGTATTCGGGCTGAGTGTTTTTCAGCTATCCTGTCAATCTTCTCCACACTCAATCATTCATGCTACATTTCGGTCTGAGGTTTCTCCTGTTCATTTTAATGACTTTTAAGCTTGGAAAATTTTAACTAGGGCAATTTCACAAACTGCAAACAAAAACAAAACAAAACAAGGGAAACACATATGAAAATACATTCACATAATAACTCTGACCCTAAAGATTGACGCGCGTGTGTAAACAGCGTAAGATTCACACGACCTAATTGACGCTTTAACTGTATTGTTACAATTTGGTAACTACTTCATTTGGAGATATGAAAGAAAAATATCTGTCACTTCAGCTTCACGAGTTTTGAGTATGGAAAAAGTGGGCGCAACCAAAATACTGAACTGTCATTCTCTAGGTGAAGGCCAACATCTTACACGAAATCTAATGTTCAACGCTATCCAATAGCAAGGTTATCTGGACATTTAAAATATTTTCATCGACAACTGTTGCAGAAGGTAAAAATGCCGATGCATGAATGAGCACCGAGCTCAATCATTTTCATTTTTCAGCCTCACACGAAAAGCCAATTCATATCAGGAGGGTCGTAATAATGTAAACAAAGGATAAAAATAGTACCATGATTTCGTGTTGAATTTAGAAATGAGAAGCACCCTTAAGTAGATTTTAAATTTGCCATCTCTAGATCGCTTTCTGATGACGACACAGCAGTCATATTGTTTACCAAAACGATATGATGGCAGCCATGTTAGTGTTCAAGTCTTTCCTGTAACCTTATAAACGCTTTTCATTTGTAGACAGTTACTTCTCCTCCGATAAATTTGCGTAGCTCTCAGCACGTGATTTTGAAAACGTCCTCGAGGATTTGAAAAATTATTTGGGTGTATTCATGATGTTCATATTCGAAATTCCTGCGGGAAATAATGACATTTTGCTTAATAGGTTAAGATGGATTCCATGTCTGAGAAGTACTGGACCCCTCGTCTTTTTGATTCCTGGTTGAAAAAATGCAAGTGTTCTCAAGGTGGCTCATCAATTTGGTGTAATGCTCTAAAGATTGGCTCAGGTGCAGAACTGCACAACTCCTTCTGGACTGCTAGTCTTCCTTTTTTCACACAAATTTGTTCCATTTGAGAATGATTGGTTTGCGTTTTCTCGTAGCTTCTTGTGGCCTAAGAGTTCCGGTCTCTGGCACCTGTACTTTTCCAAGTTCCTGTTTCAAGTGATTGTTAAAATAACCAAAATTTTGAAATAAATCATGGTTTTCTTACGCTCTATTAGCCTAGGCGAAATTTTGTCTCGTAACAGCTTGATAGCTTTTAATTATCAAAGTTCCCTGATCAACTTTGATAACAGATTAGTTTTCAAAATAATGGGCTTGAAATGTTTGTGTGCCAAACCATGTTGAAAGCATAACACTACTGCCGTGATAAACAATACTTGAATCATATTGGACAATTAGTTTTTCTTCATGACGTTCCATGCCCTTAAACTTAACCTGTTTTCGCAAAACTGAATCATAATAACCTCCATTTTAAGATTTCATCGCTGTAATACCTCTGTGCAGATCACTAGCTTGATTAAGGTTGTACGATAAAAAGTTTAAACCCATGAGCTACTGATGATCATGTGGCTTGACCATCCAGGTTACAATATGGCCCTGACTGTCTTTTGTCCGTCAGGAGACATTCTTTCCCGCATAACGCGAGCGGAAGTCGTTATAGGAGTTAAATACGACACCAGAAGGATTAGTAGACACACGTGAGAGGGAAACACAGGAATCCAGGCTATTGAAAAATCATTGACGTTTCAAGTAATCAAGCAACAGTCCTCTTCGAATTATTACAAATCAGAGCAGTTAATCAATAAAAGGAAATTCTTATTCTAATACCAGTTCCAAATTTGCCTGCATCATCATTATGTCTTGAAGATCGTTTTTTAAAGTCATGTGTGAAATCACGACCTGTATATTACAAGCATTCACATTGGATTTCTACGATTGGTCAAAAAAGCGTCATATGTAGAAACAACTAAATAAACAAACGCTTTTTTTCAATATCGCGCTTGATCTTAGATCTCTCTCTACTTCTCCAGACTGGAAGCAAAAACGGCGAGGAGCCTTTTACTGTATAGTTTCTAATGTTAGCAAAAATGTTTATGTAGAAACCTCGGCAAAAATAACGATTATAGCATTTTCTTTTTAAGGCTTGATATTCCAAATTAGAAGATAATTAATCCTTCTAAGCCTGCAAATGGTAAGTATTGATATTTTTTTAAAAGCTTTGTTGCCAAAAAAAATATTGATGTCCATCAGCAGGTAATATTTTGCCTGTCAACGTCTTGAGATAAACTGCTGCACTTGTCCTTTTAGAAAAATGAGAAAGTGTAGTCAGAAATGCTCTCGCGCATGCTATTTCCCTTTAACTGATAAAAGAAACTCTATCGTTTTCCTTTTTTCAGATTGATATCAGTATGTAGCAGTGTTATTTCAGCAATATGTGATAACTGTAGAAAAAGGCAAACACGAAGAGACTGACGAATTCCTTACAAATGTAAGTTCTCAATTGTAAATATAGATTTTTTTCGGATGAAATTTCCTCGATTATTGTCAGTGATGAATTACCCGTAAGGTGACAGAAAAACAGGCTGTATGATGTTTAGCAGTAAAAACTCATTCTATTTATAAATAGAGTTATTCAAATTAATTTCGGCTTTAAATGTTACCAAGTGAAGTCATTAATTTTTAAATATTAAAGAAACGTATAAGAAACATTTGGCACGTAAACAGTTGCCTATTTTAACAATCTACTGGCTTAGTTTCTCGTTTATTGTCGTCTGCTTAGTCTAAACATTTCGTAAGTTACCGGCAGTTCGGCAATGGTAAGTAACTGATTCTTTCATTGTTTTCATTAAATAAATAAAAAAAAAACTGGAACAGTAAGAAAATTCATTCGAGGAAAATGAAAGGATTTCACCCGCGCCCAAATGTTTGCTCTTAAAATTCTTCACTTTCATAGCTTGTTTTGCCATAGATTTTTTTAATTCTAGACACTTTGGGAAGAAACGGAAGACAGAAAGCACGTTTGAAAATTTTTTTTGGTTTATCGTCGCGAGTAATTATACAAAATAATCTGCACGGATGAACTTAAATCAAAATGTAATGTAGAAGGGCAACTATTCAAAATCTATAACGAGGTCGTCTCATCACACCTCTTTTATATAAATGTTGATTATTCTGTTGTGCAAATGAGTTAATGTAATTCGGTGATTGCAATAAAAAATGTTATGGTATCAAGGTGTTGAAAATAATTTTTAGGGACTGGATTATTAAGCTTTTCAGAGTTTAAAATTCTAAAACAAAATAAATCACTTGGTAATAGGTAGAACCAACCCCACTGTTAATGGCTCAACAGAAGGCAACTTGGTGACCAAAATTTCAGATTTGTTATTCCTTAAAAATAATAACAAAGAAATGAATACGAATATCTCAGGAAAGAGCGCTACTCAACTACTCTACTTAAAGTAGTGTAGTAAGTGAACTAAATTTCAAGCTCCTGGAAATGTAATCACATGCGAAATTAC